TTTGTCTTCGAACTTCTCTGAACTCGGGGCTCCCTTTTTATCAGAAGAGCAGTCTTTAGGCTACAACTTAATAAAGTGGTCTTTTAAGTCTATTTTCACGGTCACCTTATTTATTCTAAGGAATTCTAATATTTCATTCATGGCAGTGATATGAAGTTTCCTTTTGAAATTACTTTTAGTAGAACAGTGCTTTCAAGAGAAAAATCAGGCACAAGCTCTACCTCACTCCCAAAGATTTACTCTCACATGCGCAGATGAATGAGAATGTTCCATCAGCTGAGAGCTGTTAAATCTCTTCCTTATCCCCACAGTGGGGGAGGGTGTGGCTCTGAAAAAGAGTGAGGAGGGTCCCTGTGTGTTGATAGGTCGCCAAGACGCGTGGTTAAGTGACCAAACTACAACACAGAGGGTATGACATGCCGCCGTTTGTGAAAGACAAGGTGGAAAGAACATACCTACACGCACCCTTGGAAATACATAGTGGATGGATAACAAGAAATTCGCACAGTGGTTGCCTCTGGGGAGACTTAGCATCTGCTGTATAAAATTTCATACTTTTTTAAAGGGGAAGATAGGAAGGAGTTATCTATTCAAAGTTTGATAAGCTTAATATTTTCGAGTAAGATAGAATGGCAAATCTCTCCTTTCAAGTAAATAAAACAAAGGCAGTACCTAGAACCAGGAGGGACTTGTCACCTCTCCCAGGAGTTAGGTTCTTTTGGGAGGCATGCCACACCTTTGTGGTCCTGGGGAGCAGAGGAGACATCTGTCACCCCACCTGCTCTGCCCGTAGGATGCCTGGATGGAGACTTGGTCCACACAGGTTTTGTGGTCCTTGCCCCAGCATCCCTGCCGGCCCCCGAGCCCCTTGCACAGATCCAAACCTCATTCTTCTGGGCCTGGTTCCCTAGTCCAGCTCCTGACACCCACGTGTTTGTTGAACTGGGCACCAGAATTCTGCAGCTCACACCCCTGGCCAGTTTAGAAACGTGCACACCTGTGTACCGATAGGCGCTGTGGGAGAGCCCTCAGCTTCTTGCCTTTTTGAGATGATTATCGCAGCCCTAGGGATCAGGCAGAGCCTGCTGGCCAGCAGCATGGCCCGGCGCTGCTCCCCTTACCCTGCCTGGGCCCGAGAGGACCTAAGGCCCTTCGTGTATGAGTGTGGAAAGAGGTTCACTTTTCTCTTTATTTAATTTTAGATACTCACATAACATACCTCATTTCCTTTAGCAAAATCGGAACATAGCATGATAACTAAAATGACTTTGACCCCGCAGCCTCCATCTCACCTCTTACCCCACCCCCAAAAAAAACCAGGTATCACTGTGCACTCACCAGACATTTTCTTAGATTTTTCTTTTACATCCACATGCTTGAACCCATAGAAAATGTGTAGTATCGTTTTATGTGGTTTCATTTTACAAGAATTATGTTACACGGCGTGTGTCAGGCTGCAAATGCTTTTTCCACTTAACAGTATATTCGTGAAATAGCTCAAGATCTAACTCATTCCTTGTTGTTGCCATATGGCTTTGCACTGAATAAAGAACGTACACTTTTTTTTTAGGCTTTTCTCTGTTATTTTGGGACATTACAGACCCAAATCCTGCCGCCAACATCCTCGTTTGTGTCTCTTGGCCCACAGATGTGTTTTTCTTAGGAACATACCAATTGCCAGGTCATACGGTGTGAAACTTTCAGTTTTAATAAATAATGCTAATTTGCTCTTTAGAGTGGCTACGTTAATTGATTCTCCTACCAGCAGCATTTGAGAATGTCAGTTTTCGTTTGTCCTCACCAATACCTGACGTCATCAGACATTTTTGTTTTTGCCAATCCATGGGCAGAAGATGGTATCTTGTCTTAATTTTTTTCTCGATTTCTCATGAGAAGGAGCACCTTTGTGTGTGTTTAGTGGCTGTTCCTATTCTCTTGTCTGTGAATGGCCTGTGGGGGCCATTCACTGCTTTATTTGCTGCTTTATTCATCTTTTGCCTCTTAGAGATATTTTGCAAATATTTCCCCTAGACTAGTTGTTTATAAAGTCATTTGTTGCATATGAGTTAAATTTTAATTTCGATGGAGTCAGTTTATCAATCTTATATTTACTTGGTGTGCTGATTCTCATTTCTTCTTAAAGAAGCCCTTCCCTGCCACTGAGGTCATATGGATATCCTCCCACGTTGTCTTCAGACAATTTTCTGTAAATTTTTTTAATAGCGTGCTAGGTCCCACCCCTTTTGAAATGAGGATGGTGAAGAAAGACCTGGGAGATTCAGATAGGCAGCAAGATTTAGTGCCAGTGTATGGAACTGTCACCTACACTGGCCTTCCCTGGCCACAGGGCAGTCCTGAGAAGAAGACAGGGAAGCTCATGAGGCCGCCACACATCCCAACGTAGCTGCCAGCCTCCAGGTCCTCTCATGTGCCCGAGTCCCTCCTGGTACCTCATCCCCTGGCATGGCTCCCCCTGGCTCAGAGTGACATTCACAGGTATCTGCATGAAGGCAATAGGCAAAATTGGGTTCCATTCAGCAGCTCTTTCCTGGGTCCCCTTCTGTCTAAGACACTGTGACAAAATGACCCCTCTCCCCCAGGGCAGAGCAGGAGAGGGCCAAGGTGGTGAAGGAGTCACCCCACCAGCATCCCCTTGATCTCTGAAGGACACGCCCTTCCCTCGAGTCCTCGGAAGCCGCTGCACTTCTCCTTAACTGCCCCCTGAGTTCCGCAGAGCCAGGTCTCCCTCCTTCCCAGACGGTGAAAGTCGCTTTTAGTTTTCTTACGAAATCTCTCACAGGGCTTTGATGTCCCAATTGCATCTCTGATAGTTGTTCCGCTTTGGGGTTTAGTTCTTCCTTTTCCTGTTCTTTGTGGCGGAGGTGGTAGGTCTTTTTTTCCCCCGAAGCCCCTGAGGCCGCTGGGCTTTATGGGGATGTTGCCTGCTGCCTGCTAACAAACCCCACGCTCACGACACACCCCACTGACACCCACACCTATGGCCGGGCCTGCTTTTCCAGGTCACACCCTTCATGAATGTGGGAAAGGAGAAGGCAGAGCTGTCCTGTCTAGAGAGGGGAGGGGAAGACAGGGGAAAGAAAAGGAAGGATGAAAGGGCTTGCATTTCTGAGAATACAGAATACTAGATGTCTTCCAGTGTGGAACTAGAAATTCTGGATAAAACCGTTTTTAGAAATCTTTTTAAATTATTGAGAAAGGGAGGAAGATTCTCTCGCCTTAGGTAATAAGAAAGTAGAGTCCTAGAGTTCAGCCTGTCTGGTGCTGGTGTTTGCCATCTGTCTTTCCTGGATGGTCATATGCTAAGGAGAAGTGACAGAAACACGAGGCTGGAAAAGCCAAGAGGATGGACTGGAAGTCATCCCCATGAAGCCGGAACCCCACATGGAGGATGCTCTCAGAGGGTGAAATTGGGGGCCGGGAGCGGGTAGTACCTGAGAGAGGAGAAATGTATCTCAGATCCCTTAGATATAAATGAAAAGTAAAAACGGGGAAAACCTTGGTGAACACCTGAGTCCAAATTTGTTGTCATACGTGTTCGGGGCCAGAATTGACACCATCTGTGTAATTACCCCCTCCCCCCAATAAACTTAAGCCAAATATTAGGTTACAGTGATCCCGACAGGACTTCCTGGGGTGGTGGAAGTGTTGTACAACCGGAACATAGTAATGCACAACTGTAAATTTACACAAACTATTCTTAAAATGGGTAAATTTTATGACATATAAATTATGCCTCAATAAAACTGTTTAAAAGAAAACCACCTACCGTTCTTCTAAGCAGAGACTTCTTTTAAGGTTTTAGTATATTTCTCTGCACTGTGTTTCTTTGTAGGGATATCTTTTTTTTCTTTTTACATCAAAATCGAGTAAGATATTTATCTTAAGTTTTTAATATGTGTTTCAAAAGTACATCTTGAATACTTTCTCATTTTAAAATAATTTCAAGCTACACAGTGGTATATAGAGCAAAAATCAAGTTCTCCCATCTATATTCCTCACATACACATCCCCACCCTCAATTCTCACTTCCCTCCCCATAGGTAACCACTGTTCACAGTTTGGTTAAACATTTTTAAAAGGGTATATAATTTTCCATATGCTGGGGGAAAATGTCATTCTCAAATTGTTCCCCTATTTGGAGTCTTTTAGGTTGTTTCCTGGTTCAGCTATTTCTTTTAAAACATGTAGCAGAGGATTCCGTTGAAGGAAACTCAGAGCAGACTGTAGATTTAATGGTCCTATATTACTCTGATGATTTTGTAGCCATCGGGACAGGCACTAAGTTAGACTTCGAATTGGGGTAATTTTGACGTAAGAGAAGGGACCCAACATACGCTGAGGACCCCATACTCAATGCTTTATCTTTCTGTTCTCATTTAATGCACCAAACATCTCACGATAGAGGACATTATTCCCATTTTACAAATGGGAAGCCGTGGGCTGGAGGGGCCAAGTGTGTTGCCCAGGATCACACACCATCTAGTGCAGAGCTTGGCTCCAAGTTGCTGGACACCAGCTTGAGGGCTTGGTGGTTCTGTAGCCGAGCAGGAAACTCTCGCCATCACTACTGATTTTAGGCGAACGCCATCACAGCGCAAACGTCCAGTGGTCTGCAAACAGATTCTCGGTTTGTTGGTTCGTTGGTTTGTTGGTTTGTTTTCGCTGCAGTTTGAGTCCCTGACGTGCAGTAAGCATTGCACTGATGCTTTATGTACCTCGTATCCGTCCTCACAAATAGCGCTTAGAGAGGGCTGGATGTTATCCCCATTTTTCAGACGAGAGCTTCGAAGCTCGAGAGGTAAAGAAAGTTGCCCAGTGTAACTCAGAGGAGGGCGTCATACCCATGTGCGTGTGATTCCAAGCCTGGGCTCCGACCACCGGGCTCTGCTGCCCGGCAGAGCACGAGGCAGCTCGAGTGTCTCCATCAGGCTGGGCAGCCGGACTCCGCCTCATTCTGCTCTCTGTGTCCCTCCCCCCAGACAACAGCGACCTGATCGCGTGCACGGTGATCACCAAGGATGGCGGCATGGTCCAGCGGTTCCTGGCTGTCGATATTTACCAGATGAGTTTGGTGGAGCCCGACGTGTCCAGGCTTGGCTGGGGAGTGGTCAAGTTCGCGGGCCTCCTACAGGTAAGAGCTGCAGATGCTCTTCTCGGTGGCTGTACACACACACACACACACACACACACACACACACACATAAGAGTATCACCTTTACAGTTTCCTTTTTTTAAATGTTTTTTATTTTTACAGTTCATTTCTAGGGACACAAGGACTACGTTTTATCATTGAAAAAAATTAAGCTAGCTCACAGATGCAGGCCAAGTCCTCTTTGACCAACACCCAATTTTACACTCCCTTCCCCCCATTATTAGTAATCCTTCCCGGTTCCCTGGTTGTCTGCCAAATGCATAAATAAGTATAACTACATGCTGTTTTTAAAAACCGTACGTATACTTGAGAGGGGAGATGGGTGTGTATTTTTTACAGTGTCACATTGAACGTATTCTCAGCTTTGTTTTTTTCACTCAATATGTGTCTTGGAGAGCTGACCATGTCAGCATATGCAGACTTACTGGTATTCTTTTAATAGCTACCCGAAGATATCGAGGCATATTTAGCCGGTGCCTTGCGGCCGTTTCCAGCTTCTTACCTTTACAGGCAGTGCTGCTGCGAACAGAATTGGCCTTACTTCCTTGTGCGCTTCGGCAGGGGTTTCCCTCAGCAGATCCCAAGAAGTTGGGGTGTGCCCGCTTTCAGTATTCAGAGACACTGCCAAAATCCTGTCTGAAATGATCGTTGCCGCTGGCAGTGTGTGAGAGTTCCCTTGTCCTCACCCCCTCTCCAGCAGAGCTGGACTCTAAATTGCCTGAAGCCAAGTCGGGGCTTGGGTTTTCTCATTTGTCTCTGTGATAGGTGACTAATGCCAGCTGGTTTGCTGAACGAAGCGTAGAAATAAAAGAGGTGAAAACAGCTTTCTAGCTCACACTTCCTACCAGACCCCCCGTCCATGAACATCCAGCAAACTCTTCCAGGCCCGAGACTTGCCCTGCTCTGAGGCAGTCCGTGTCCTCGCCGGGCAGGCCTGGCTGCTGGCAGTGCCTTGCTCAGGCCAACCCACATCCGCCTCTCCTCAGCGTGATTTGCTGGCACCACGCTGCTCTCCACCCGTGCGTTTGAAGATGCCATCGCAACCTTTTCCCCAACCTCCTCTCTTTTCAGGATATTTCCATTTAAAAAAATGTCTTTTACCGAGGGTGACACAAGAAACAACTCTATGAAGAATCTTTCATTTATAAAAAGACTTCTATGTAAGCGGTTGTCCATTAGGTGACTTAGTGCTTCTTATTTATCTAGGCTTATGATCAATTTCCTTTAGAATTTAGTGTCAGGAAAGTGTTTTTCTCCCTCAAAGGACTAATACATGTCCTCTCTCAGACAATGAAAGCCACATAAACCTTTTCTTTTGGTGGTCTTCCAATAGCCACTATTCGTCAAGCCGTTACTATGTGCCAACCTCTCCGTTTTAAATGCGTTACATCTCATCTAATCCCCACTGCATCATTTCAATGCAGGTATTATTTCGAGAGAACCTGTGCCAAATGTAATGCCTACGAATAGCAACCATCTTACTTCTTGAGCCTTTTTCAACGTTTTTCCCACCACCTCTAGCATGTCTTGTGTTCATGTCTATCTCCCATCTCAGGCTTTTATCTTAAATCACCTCAAACCTTTGTGGGAAGCAAATTCTTTACCCAGAGTCCAGTCTGAGGTTTTAGATTGAATTTGTCGTTATTATACTTGCTATTCTTGAGTTCCTTCTCCACCTTTCAAATGTAGCTGTCTTCAGATATCTGCTAAATTGCCCTCCCCTCTCTTTCTTGGAGTTGGTTTTTTTTTCGGGACCAGAAATTCTTCGGAGACATACAAATGGGTGTCAGCGATGCCCCCTTAAGAAAAACAGGAAGAAAGTGGTCCAATATATCCGAGATCATGCCAGATGGCATAGGAATTTGGGTCTGTTACCAGTGGCTTCTCAGAAGAATTTTGGAGTGGACCATTGGGTTCCCCATGGCCCCTGGAAGAGGCTAGTGCACCTCTTTGTTCCCTGGCTGTCACAAGTGCCACCGAGTACCATACTGCCACCACCACAACCAGCGCCCGTTCCTTTTGACCACTCTGCTTCCCACGACGTCTTCTCCCTCTGGGCCTGGCCAGGTTTGTGTCCATCCCCGATTCTCAGGCTCGGGAGGCTGATGATCTCCCTCAGAGCGAAGGCAAAGTGGAAACCAGGGGGCATCTTCTAGATGAGACGTGGATCCCACAGCTTCTGAGCAGCCGCCCTCCTCCTGAACCTAACAAACCACTTCCTTTGGCTTCCTCCCCCTGCAGGACATGCAGGTGACTGGTGTGGAGGACGACAGCCGTGCGCTGAATATCACCATCCACAAGCCTGCATCCAGCCCCCACTCCAAGCCCTTCCCCATCCTCCAGGCCACCTTCATCTTCTCAGACCACATCCGCTGCATCATCGCCAAGCAGCGCCTGGCCAAGGGCCGCATCCAGGCGAGGCGCATGAAGATGCAGAGGATAGCAGGTGAGTGGCTGGTCCTGACGGAGTGTCCCCTGAGCCCTCTGGGTGCTACTGCCCCAGAGGGCTAGTTGCGTGGTTCTCACATTGACCTTGAGAACCCCCATGACTCCCCTAGAAGAGGGCACGAATGGTTCAGGAGTTGTGTTTCGGTGAGACAATGGAGAATCTGTTCGGAACTTCCCACTTCCTAGGTGTTTGATATCTAGGGTTTCTGGAGCTGCAGGGAAGAGGAGAAATCTCCTTACTGGGCAGGTGGCCACGCGCAGTCAGGCGTCAGTGTGGGACAGCTGTTCTCACTCCTGTGCACAGATGCTTTCCCGCTTATGTTTACAGAATGCTTCACATTCCTCTGCCGCCTTTAATCCGTAAAACAGCACTTGAGATCTGCAGGGCCCGTTCTGCCCATTTTATAGAAGGGGTAAACTGAGGCTTGGCGACTTGCCCGAAGCCACACAGGCAGCTAGTTGGAAGAACCCAGAAGCAGAACTTCTTATTCTAAATCCCGCCCCTTCCCAGCTCTCATGAGACGCCTCCCAGCTTGGTGAGGGGCCGTGACTGATCCCGAAATTGAAAGTCACTTCACATTTCACAGGGATTTGTGAGGGGGCCCAATACTGCCCAGTGTCAGGAAGGCCCCACCTTTCTTAGACATAAGGCACTGCGGTTAGGGTGTTCTGTTCACCAGGGCAGAAGGCCCCACACAACCCTCGGGGAAAAATCATGCTATCAACTCCTAAAATTATAGACACACTCTCAAGATACCAATGCCTTTGAGTTCAGGCACTGATGTTCATTCTGGCGTAGTCTCTGAGAAGCTTCCCACTGGGGGAGGAGGAGAGCTTTCTCAAGGGATTACCTAAAAATAAAGATCGAAAGGCGGGCTTTCTGGACGTGTGGATTCCGATCTTTCTCACACAGGCCCTGTTGATTTGTGCAGGCCCACATCTCATATAGTCCTCATCTTATTTCTCATTTGGTTGAAACTAGGCCTGTGAAATCATTACAGAAGCATTTTGTAATGTGCAAAGTGGCTTAAATCATTCAGTCCTTTCTTTCAAGATTTATTTTTGGAGGTTTTTTTTTTTTTTTTTAATGTAAAGCAATTTCTCACAGCTGGCATGAAGGCTAAATATTTCATTTGAAAATTGAGAATTATGCCATAAAGTGGCTGTGAGAACTAACACCTTGGATATTTCTTCCATTGATTTTTAAAAGCCCCTCCAAATTGCGAGATCATGAGACTTGTTTATGGAAAGGAGGATGCAATGGTGACAGATAAACACACACTCATAAATATGCATGCACAGATGCCTGAATCCTCACTCCCACACGTTCTTCCCTGTGCATGCACGTATGTGAGCTCTCAGAGCAGAATTGGCCCCGTTCACCTCAGGTCTTGAAACTGCGCCTGAGTCTGAGCTTTGGCCTTTTGCGCGTGGAAGCCGAGGATCCCAGTTGGAACCTGGCCCTGGTCCATCCGTGAACCCCTCGCCAGGCTGTGTTTTGAGCCTCAGGCGGGACCTGTGGTATCGTGCTGGTCTCCCCAGCTCAAGGCTGCCAGCCGCGTACTTGGCATCACCCAAGGGATGTGCCCGGGAGAGCCACAGCCACCCCGGCTCCAGCCGCCCCACCCAAAGTCTCGTCACCTCCGCTCCTGTCCCACGCGCTGAGTGTGACCATGGGTTTGTTTGAACATAGCCCTCCTGGACCTCCCGATCCAGCCAACGACCGAAGTCCTAGGCTTTGGACTCGGCTCCTCCTCTTCCTCCCAGCACCTGCCTTTCCGCTTCTACGACCAGTGCCGCCGGGGCAGCAGCGACCCCACAGTGCAGCGCTCCGTGTTCGCGTCCGTGGACAAGGTGCCAGGTAAGCCGGCCCCACCCTGTGTGACTGCTCGGCCCCCTCCTGGCTAGGCCAGGGTGGCGGCGGACGGGGTTCCAGACCTTTCTTTCTGTTGAGCCTGTGTAAGCTGCTTCTCCCTTCTCAGAAATCCAGCCGGTTGGAAGCACCAGATACATTTCTGAGAATTTATCAAAGTATAGCGTTAAGATTAAATACAAGTCCCGGAAAGAAATGCTGGCTTTCTCTTTGGTGTTCCACTGCCCGGGTTTGGTTTTCCAGAGATTTGTTGGGGATGTGGAGGAACTTCTCAGAATTAAGACTAAGAAGTTTCTTGGAAATTTCTTGGAAATACTTAGATGATTAGTAATGAGGTTGTGGGAGAGTAATTTCCTCCTTCATGTAGGATGACTAGAAAGAGATAGTGTGTGTGGTTCCTGTGACAAACCCCTGAAGAAGTGAGACTTCAGTAGAAGGCCCCGCTGCCCACGGGCGGCTGGCTGCCCGTGTCTCCTATCCGGGAGCCTCTCTGCCCACTTTCACCAAAGCTCGTCTCTGACCCCCTCCTCCCCCCTCCCAAAAGGGAGACTTGTATAGAAAATTCAAGGTTGGCAAGGCCGAGCAGAAAGAACTGCTTCTCCAGAACGGCAGGCTCTCCCCTTCCTGTTCTCACACATCTGAGTTAAGTAAATCCATATGCCCCCCATCCCTCGAAAGAGAACCTTGCTCGTGATTATGAAACTTGAGAAAATTGGCCCAGCGTCCCCTGCAACTTAGCCTCCCCACGTTCAGGGTTTCGAACTTTAATCGCCAGTGTTTTCAAAAGCAGTTATCGGTTTAAGAACGAAATGCAGCCTTAAGACCTGTCCAAAATCAAGGTTCTCGTTTCCCCTCTACCCCACGATGCGTTGTTTTCATTCTTCGATTCGATCGATTCATTTTCGAAATATATATGCTATAAGCACGTGATATTTAAAAATCCGAAGAGGACATGATAAAATGAAAAATAAGTCTACTTGGCCCCGGAAGTAACCACTTCTAATAATTTCTTACATATCCTTGCAGAAATGTTTCTTTGTATGTCATACATAGGTCTTTGTGTGTCTGTTTTCATACCGGGGTTATACCGTGTACGTCATTCTGCGCCTGGCCGTTTTTACTTGATGATAAGTCAGCATTATAGGTTAGCACATATAAATCAACTTCGTGCTCATTAACTTTGGCATTTTATCATACGGATGGACCAAAAAAAAATCTTTATAACATTTGGTATTGATGGATATTTGGGTCACTTCCAGCTTTTATAGTGTCGCCATGAACGCCTTCGGGGTATCTTTGTGTAATTGTGCAAATCTCACATGTCTGTGGATGTGCCGCGCCGAAGGGGAGGTCTTCCATCTTGAAGTGTGTAGTCCCGGCGTGCGCTCTGGAGAAAGTGCACCAGTTCACACGGCCACCCACAGCCTGTGCCCGTTTCCATTCTTAAAACCAGTCTTACTTGGGCCATGAGACTGATCTTAGCACTGCTTCTGTTTTCAGCTCTGCAACGTGAGATGATTCTGCCTGCTCCAGGGTCTGGGGATTCTTTGTTAAACATTCTCTAGGTCGCTAAGTAAATATAAATGATGACCATGAGTCTAGGTTAAATAAATTTCCTTCTTTTTTATTTTATGCACAGTCGTAATTTTATCATACTTATATAAGTACCACTTTGTAATGTTTTCGTTGAGATTTAATTGGCATATGATATTATATTAGTTAAGAAATCATTTCTTTAGGCTCATCGGGGCTTCTTGCAGCTCAGAAACTAATGGGTTAAGGAGAAAAGGCCAGGCCTTATTTCCGCTCCATCATTTTTGGAACAAGGCAAGTGTAAATAAATAAACAGAGCCAAATGTCACATTCTTCAGCATCTGCATAATCATCTCTCTGTTTGCAACAGGCTTTCAATGACATTGCTTGCTTCCCCCACCCTGCCTGGGTTTCCTAGGGAGCTGCAGGGTCATCCAGGCCTATAGTGTGGCAATCTGCAGTGGCCTGGGCCTGCCTAACAGAGGGGTTGGCGTAGCCGGAATTCCCAGTGTCCTGTTGCTGGTCCCAGAGTTGCTGTCTGTGAGGTTGGGCCAGTTGGGACTATGGCAAGTCAAAGGTAGCTGTCTGAAGGTGGCCATCGACCCTTTGGCTGTGTCGCTCTGGTGTGGGAGCGAGGTGGGGACATTCTCACAAATGTGCCCCGCAGGGCGACTGCTCTGGGCCCTTGGGTAGCGAGGTCTGGCTTCCAGCCTGCCTTGGCTTGGGTGGGAGATGTGACTCGAAGAGCAAGGTGAAAGCATTGAGCCTCGGCATGACGGCAGAGGCGGGGCGAGGAGCTCTCCCTGGCTCCCACCGTCCTCACCCGGCCGTCTCAGTCGTCGGCCTAGCCTCTCAGAGTCATCCTAATTCTCTCCTCTCCCACACCCACTGCCCGCTCTGCTTACAGACCACGCCTCTCCCCCTCCCGCCCGCCAGCATTACTCCCTGGACTGTGGCAGCAGCCTCCTCAATATTCTCTGGCTTCCAGGCTAATCCCCTCCTTCCCCTTCAGCCAAGGGGATCTTTCTAGAACAGAAATCAGATCATCCCTTGCCCCTGCCTGCAATCCTCCAGTAGCTTACAGTTGCACCTAGAACAAAATCCAGATCTCGCACTCTGCTCTTGGGTGATCATTGTGCGATTGGCCCCAGCTGGTCTCTTAGACACGGCTGCTCAGCCTCACGCCACCCTGCGCCCCACCCCGCACGCCACCCCTCACGTCACCCCGCGCCCCGGTCGTACCCGCCCCGTCGCTCCTCTTAGTCAGCACTTCCAAAAACTGTGGTCTCAGGACTCCTTTATGCTCTTTAAGAAAGTGTCGAGGAACTTTAAGAGCTCTGGTTTATGTGGATTCTATCTATTGCTATTTCAAGATTAGAAATTAGAACCGAGAAATGCTTTAAATATTTATTCATTTTTTTAAAAAATAAACCCATCACATATAAATAAAAATAAAAATAACCTGTTTTTTATGAAAAACTCTGTTCTCAAAAAAAAATTAATGTTTTGTAGTTTTGCAAATCTAATATCTCTGTTAATAGAAGGCAGGATTCTCCTCTCTGCTCCTGCTTTCAGTCTGTCGTGACAGATTACATTTTGCGGCCTCTGGAAACCTCCTCTGAATACTCCTGGGAAAGTGGAAGTGAAGGGAAGAATGCTGTCTTGTTTTTATGAAAGTAGTTCAGACCCTGGGAGCCCCCGAGGGTTCCCCAGGCCACGCTTTAAGAACCACGGCTCTAAGTCGCCGGCCTCTCTCCTGCCTCGGGGCCCTTGCGTCCAGGTGTTCTTCCTCAAACCTGTGTGTGGCCGCCTCCCGCTAATCGCTCGGGCCTGAGTCTGCATGCCACCTCCTGATCACCCCCAGGAAGGTTACCCCTTCCCTCCATCACACTAGCCTGGTTTATTCTCCCCACGGCCCTGGCTTCCTTACCTGGCTGACATATCTGCGCCTGGCGGTGGTCTCTCTCCCCCGTGGAGAATGTCACTTCCACGAGGACCTGGTCCGTCCTGCTCTCCGCTGTACCTTAGCGCCGAGCACTTGCCTCATTCACTAGTTGTTGAATGAAGAACGAGCGCAGCCTTGAAGCAGTTCCCACGAGGAAACTATCGCCGGGGCCCTGGACGTGGAGTGGGTTAGTCGGTGCCATCTCGACAAGGGAACATGAGGGAACCAAGACCCCCCGAAGATCATAAGCAGCGTTCCTCTGCCTAATTCCTGTCGCCAAAGTGAGTGAGATGTGCATCCCAGGAGGGCCCATGCAGCCCTCCTGATAGGCTTGAATTGGTTGCGCATCAGTTGAATTTCAGCGCCCTCGCCGTTCCGAGGTTTGCAAAAGCTACAGAGTAAGCCGAAGGGGGTCGTCGGAAGCACGGCCCACGTTGGCCTCCGATGCTGCGGCCTCCACAGCTGTTATCCAGGCCTGTGAGCCCAGCGGCACTGCTGTGTCCCTGGCCACAGGCTGCACTGTCGCAGGCTCCCAGGCTGTGTGCAGTCCTCGCTCTGGCCACCTGCCTCCGGGTCGCTGCTGGAGGAGCTAGCACTGTCAGGACACATCTTCCAGTTCTGTCTGCAGGCCCAGGTAATTGTCATAGAGCAGTTCGTCTCCCCTTTAGAAGCTATAAATGATTATATCTGATGAAAATATACCTTTCATTTCCTTGGAAGAGATATTAAAGTAGAATATAAATCAGGGCTAATAGACGACTAGCCACTTTGGTATATTTTTCTTCTTCCATTTGGCCTGGGAAGAAATCACAAATTCTATTTATTGGCCGGTTTTATGTTGATGGCCCTCACCCCCACAGAACTCGCAGCTGCACAAGGGCAGAGGCCTGTGTGTGTGTCTGGCCTGGGAGGGAGGGGTCAGCGGTGACGCATGTGTTGGGGTGGGCCGGCATGACTGGATCTAGAACCTGGCTTTGAGGTGCAGTGCTCCATGGTTAGTGCCCTCGAGGACCCATCCCACCAACCCGCAGCGGCCGCTGAATGCCAGAACCTGCCATGTGGCGGGTGGAGGTGTCCAAACTAGCGGGGGGCTGGCGGGGGCAGCACACCACAGTCCTTCTCGCTCAGGTCCTCCCTGCGCCCTTCCTGATTCTTATCTAAACAGAAGGGCCGTTTAGCGGGACAGAAAGTGGGGATTTGAGTGGGACAGCCAGGCAAGTTGACACCCACTGGCCCTCACTGATGGGGCCTTAAGGACGTGACCAAAAATAGTGAACCCTTCCCACCTCGTTTATCATCAGCTGCCCCTCACCAGCCCTTTAGCTCCGGTGGCAGGGACCGAGTCGGCCTCCTTCACTGCTCTCTACCCTGCTTAAAATCCTCCAACGCCTCCTGTCCCCAGCCCGTCTCCATGGCCTGTCGCCGGCAGCCTGGCCTCTGTGTGGTCCGGCCCCTGGCCCCTGACCGCTATCAGCTCCTCTCCCTCCCCCTCTCACTCCTTTCGCGGACA